CTTCCACACCTATACGGTAAATTGTTTTTTGAAAAAATAGATTAGAATGCATTTTGACTTTAAAAACTTCACATTTTTTATACATTTCATTTAATTGTTTGACTCAACTCATCGAAACCGGAATTCATTTGCAAACGTTGACAGACTGGAACTCTTTTGGCTGTTATGAGTCCGGACTAGTGAGTTCTCCTTTTCCTTGCCTTTTTACGGGTTCGATCCATTAATTTTATTTGGCATCTTTAAAATTTCAGCGATTATTTGTTCAAACTGCTACTTATAGGCGACTCTGGAGTGGGAAAATCCTGTTTGCTTTTGCGATTCGCCGTATGTTATAACTATTTTAACTCACTTTATAGGATGATACATATACAGAAACGTACATAAGCACGATTGGTGTTGATTTTGTAAGTTTGCTGCCGGCTACTATTAATTATTTCATTAGAAAATTCGCACAATCGAGCTTGATGGCCGGATTGTAAAGTTACAAATCTGGGATACTGCGGGTCAAGAGCGTTTTCGGACCATTACTTCATCTTACTACCGTGGAGCACAAGGAATAATTGTGGTATATGACGTCACTGACCTCGTAAGCTCTTTTTAAAAATTGCAATTTTGTCCAATTACTCCGCTATACAATTTGTTTAGCAATCCTTTAATAATGTCTCCACATGGCTCCGTGAAATTGAGTTATATGCTCACATGAACGTAAACAGGCTTCTTGTTGGCAACAAATGCGATATGGCTACTAAGAAAGTCGTCGATACAGACCGTGCCTACGTGAGTTTTTCCGTTCCATCCCCTTCCTGTTCCCTTATTCTGTTTACCTTTAGGTAGTTAACTAGTTCCCTTATATTTTTATGACGGATTATGCTCTCTCTAATTTTAGAGATATGCAGAAGAATTGGGTATTCCGTTTTTGGAAACAAGTGCAAAAGATGCTACAAACGTGGAGGAGGCCTTCATTAAGATGGCTCAACAGATCAAAGCACATACTGTACCACTTCAAGGTAGCCCTGCTTCCACTGTCACCGTCAACAACACCCAACCCGTAAAGCAAAGCAGTGGTGGCTGCTGCTAAATTTTTCGACTTGGACTTATTCTAAATCTTTCTCATAAAATAACCGACTAGTCTTTGAGGCCTGAGGATGCACACACTGTGTGGGGATCTATACAACCTCGTCGTATTATCCTTCGTCTTATTTCTCATTCGTGGCTGATTTTTCTTCTATTTATCTTTAAGCTGTTTTGCGACTATATTGCACGTAATTGCAACTCCATTCCGCCTAATGAGCAGAGATTTCTACTTCATCCCTCGCGTGGCTCCCCGCATTTCCTCGCTAACTTTTACCTCAGTCTGTCATTGTTACAGTGTAGTGAACTAACTTTTCTCAGATATGCTTCTTGCACAAATATCCTGATAATTCGGGTCCACGCACCTCAATGTACAGCCTGTGCCTTCTCTAATTTACATCTTTTCAGTAAGCTACCACTTACGTGAACTCTGAGTCCGTTTTTCTATCACTATCTTTTCATTATTAAGCCGGCGTCTGCCGATACAGTTAGTCTTTCGACTTCTCTCCACCGAGGACAATTTTTATTTGTCCATTTCCTTTCTGGATATTGGAATGTTTTGTATTTTTGTCTTATTGAAGTTGTAAACTTAATTCTTTGATTCAACTAAGAGATCTTTCGTGAATTGCAGATACCTGGTTGATTTTATCATAACTGCTCG